CCATGGCTTGTCTCCACTGCTAATCAAACTAAAAGCTCATCTGTTCGACCCTCCGTCACAAAACCATTCTCACACCAAATATATAGAAGATTAAATCAGACTTTCACTATGATCCAAATAAGAGACAAATGAAATGAACGTTTTTTTGTCTCAGGTTCACACAGAGTTTAAAGCCATTTAATCCCCCTTTGATTCTCAATCCGCACCTGCTTGATCAGCATCCTTTCATCTTCCCCTGGTCTCCTCTCACTCCCTCTCCCCTCTCCTCCTTCTGTCCTACTGGTTCGTGGCCAAAAGCATCAAGCATTATCCATCAATAGCTGGGCTATTAGGTATCAACAGAACTCCTCTGAATTAACCGCGATGCCAAGAAAAGCCGGCTATTGATAATGCTCAATAAGTTTATTCCTCAACTGGTGATGGTTGTGGAGGACAAGGGTGAGGAGAGCAGAGAGAAGGTAAAGGACTGGGGGAGGCAGTGATGACTGTGGGGGACTGTATGACAGAGGAGAGTCCTGGACAAGCCTTGGTGAGGTGTGTGTGGGGGGGAACGTGGGGGAGGGAGGGGGTCTTCAACTGATACAGAATATGCTGTGGATAAAAGTAGCCAGCTCATCAGTATAAACAGAAGCCTGCTCACTAAAACCTTTACTGTCTTACCTTCCGATCATGGTCGAGTGCTGCTGGACAGCCGCCTCCAGCAGCCTCTCCAAAATGGTCCATTCCCCCATGGTGATGGAAAGGTTGCGGGACTCTCAGCAGAAGCGGGACTTGGGGAGCCGACCCCTCTTCCTCCGACGGAGCCCTTCTTCTTCTTCTCCTCTCACCTCTTCCTCCCAGGACCGGACCGCACGGAGGGGACCAACCGGGTCCCCTCAGCAGCAGCTCCCTTATGACCTCTACACGTTGACCCGGACGATCGTCCGTCCGCGCGTCTCCTCCTGGGCCGGTCCTGCTGCGCTTCACCTCCTGGTGGAGGAGAGGTGCTGAGCTGATTGCCTCCTGCCCCACCCCCTCCTCTCTCGATCTCTCTCTCTCTCTCTCTCTCTCTCTCTCGGCCTAGTACTCCGACCAAAAAACAGGTGCACTTGGGGGAACTTTCCCTTCTCTGACAAGAGCATTGGGGTGTTGAATGGCATTTGCTAATGATGCTCAGTGGCCAGGGAAGATGATTAATGCTGTTTCACAGGGAGATCGATTCCTCTCCCAGAGCAGCTCTACGCTGCCTCATATGAATTGCTTTGCTATTCCGCAACTGATGAAATGATAGAGACAAACTCACCAACACGCGTGCAGATTTTGGTCACGCATCTGTATACACATCTCAGTCTTCATTTCCTGCGCTGTTTCCATATAGGACTGAAACCAGTCCCACCAAAAGCCATCGAGTTGGCTCTATGCCACAGGGATGTGTATATAAAGTATGTCTGTTGGTTAAAGAAGAGTT